TGAAAAATAGATTTTAGATGTTCATGAAAGCTGTTTATTTATAAAGTTTGATGTTTTAAAAGAGCTAATAAAATAATAATATACAATTATTTTATTATATTTTACTATTTACTTCTAATGAATTATACATGCAAAAATTAAAAAATTACGATACAGTTATCAGGGGAATCTCTTCTTATACATGAAAAATTTTGGTATTTTCCGATTAGCTGCACTACCAGATTCCACATTCGCTAAAACTGCAAAAGTATATACAGGATAATAGCAAGCCATGCATGTACACATAATATACATGTATTTACATGCTATACACTAATCTTTATTTCTGAATAGTATTTTCTGGATGAAAAATATATGAATATCAGCCGTATAGATTTTTTGCCTCCTAAACTTTCTTGTTTCTTATAAAATGCTTTCTTTTATTATTATTTGTGACCAGAACAGTAGGTACAATTAAAATAACCACACAAATTCATTTTGACTGTTCACAAAATCCCAGTCAATTTTCACAGCTCTGCAGACAGTCAGAAAGTATCAAAATTTTTAATAACATTAAGTTTAAATGATGTTTTATACTTTTCTATTAATTTGTGTGTTATCACACTTTCTGTAGGCGGATCTCTCACTGGTTAGAATATAATTATCATGAAGAACAGAATTTGGTATTTATGCTTGAAAAAACTGCAGCTGGATTTCTTGGAGAGGTCGGTCAAAAGGTTTAATTCTAATTTAATTTTGACCGGAGAAGTCTGTAAAATTTATTTATCATAAGTGATATTGCTTTTAAATTAAATTCTGCTTGCTTTTGAAATTTTTTCATGATATTCATTCTTGGTTTTTTTATTTTTATTTATTTTTATTATTTTTTAATATTTACTAACTCATGCTTTCATGATATTCTCTTCGATTTTTTTAATTTTAATTTATATTTATATTTATTTATTTTATTTTTTTATGTTTTAATACTTACTAACTCATGCTTATGCACACCATTTTGCATTTAATACCATATTTTAAATATTTTAAAATGTTAAATAATGCATTTCACTTTAAAATGTGGTTGTAACAGTAAATTTTTTGTTATATTTAATCCTATGATCTATAAACACGGATATACTTGACTTTATAATATCACACTGATATACTTTGTTAATAAACAATAATAAATAATTTAACAAATAATTTAATAAATCATTATATAGTGCCAAAACGACAATTAAAAAAAACCAGAACTTTACTAAGAGGTCCCTGATTATGCTAAACTAACCTTTTAATACAGAAAACTGTACTTAGAGACTTATAATAAAAGGTTAAATCTGATTTGAATTTCAATGTACATATGTAAAATTGATTTAATTGTTTTGGCACTAGCATATGTATTTTTTCCAGTGTTTCGAATGTGTAGGAAATCTGGTTACATTTGTACATTTGAGATCAAGTTTTCATTTTATATTTTTAAAGTCTTAATAAAATGATAAATCTTTTATGGCTTTTGATTTCAAATGGAACAGGGAACAAACATATTAATTGATTTCATGAGCTTTAATTCTTTTCCTCTGATGAGTTCTGATTGGAGTTTAAATAAAAGGAGATTATTTTTATTTGTAAATTTGTAAATTTCCCTTCCCATTTTTTTTTTGAGATTGTTCACTATGAGTTCTCTCTTTAATTGGGTTAGTTGATACTGTTTAAACCGTTATACAGGGTTGCAAATAGATTATAGAGGAATTGGCTTTGTTTTTTTTTTTTTTTTTTTTTTCCTTTACTAATAATTTAGATGCTTTAAGTTTATTCTACATCAATCTGCACTGCACAAGACAGGTCAAAAAAATTATTCAAATTTTTTTTTGAATTTTTAGCCTTTATATATTTCTATATAAATAGCAATTATATGTATGAAACCAAATTTTTGGAAGCATGCTTGGGTTAGTTCCACTCACTTTTTCTGAAAATTGCAAATGAGTACTACGAGGCGTATTCGGAAACCAAGCACCGTTTGAAAAAAAAAAAAAAAAAAAAAAGTAAAAATTTTTCGAATTCAATTTATTTTTACATGAAAATAATGTCCTTAACTATTTTCAACATATTTCCACCAATGACCAACACTGTCATAGCGGGTGACCAGTTTGTATACCATCGTAAGAAACTTCCCGCCATTTTCGATAACCACGCTCCACAGATTTTTGTGTCAGTCAGATCTAAAGCCTTGCCACCAAGCTTGTGCTTTATGTGCAGGACAATGATAGTCGGATAGCGCCAAGTCCGGGCTGTACGGCGGGCGATTGAACTGCTCCCAATGAAACTGTCGAATTAACCTCGCGTGACACCAGCGTTGGGGCCGAGCTTGTCATGGAGCAACCAATTCCTTTACTGAGGCATTCCTCTTCGTTTGTTTTTGATGGCACGCCTTAGTTGTTAAAGTCTCACACATCGTGCCGCATTAATGTTTCACCCTGGGAAGAAATTCAGTAAGCAAAACCCTTTCCTATCCCAGTGCACGTGATTTTTTGTGTGACATTGTCACTTTGAACTTTGTTTTTTCGAAATGAGGCGTCTCCACTCCATCGATTGTTGTTTCATTCTGGTTGAAATGACACACCCAAGTTTCATCACCTGTCACAATTTGGTTTAAAAAGTGTTCCCTGATCACTGTCCGCGTGAGAAATGTCGGCACTACCAATTCGCTTTGTTTTGTGAACATCAGTGAGCTTTTTGAACCCATCGGAACACCAGTTTGCGAATATTCAAGCGGTCAGACACAATTTCGACAAAACAGTACGTAAAATTTGTGGAAATGCTTTGAAAAGTTGTGTCATTGTGAAGCGTCTGTTCTCATGAATTGCTTCATCAACTTTCCTTACCAAATCATCGGTGACAACAGAAGGCCGACCACTCCCGAGCCTCGGAGTGGAATTGTTCGCCTGCTTAAAAATTTTACCCACTTTCTCACCATTCCATCACTTATCGCGTATCACCGTAAACTTGTCACTTGACGAATTTCGCCGGTTTAATTCCCGCGTTTAAAATTTAATTACGACAACTCACGTCAGCAGGAGAACTATTGTCTTAAACATTTTGATGTGCACAGCAATGAAACACAACATAGAGCAACCAAATGGCGCAATTGAAGTCGTGAACAGAAAGACTAGTGCGCATTCGGGACGCCTACCACAGAGCTACGGCGTTAGAATGAAACGTTAGTTCCGAGTAACTACGTCCATTTGGATACTTAATGATATCTACTTTAAGAACGATGACTTGCAGTACTCCCATTGGAGTTCTAGGGCAGGTAAAGATTAACGATATAAAATGATGAATTTGGAGCTTGGCGGTGCGAATAGATGAGTAGAAAGGAACTTGGCAAGGCAAATATGTTCGGATTCAAGATAACTTTATTGAGGGGGAGCAAGTCGCAATATTTGGTTCACATACGGACGAGCATCTTATGCGCTCTACATTTTTGTTAGATCAGCACATATGCCTTGAACAAAGAAGGTAGCCGCAAAGCTTCTGGCCAGGAGGAAAGCTTAAGCGAAAAGTGACTCATCAGTTCACAGAAAGAGGGGAGGGAATCAGTTTTTAGTTACGGTTTACAATTCGGTGATTGGTCAAGAGGCATCTGCATTAACGGTTCAGTAAGATTGTATGATTAATTTGAATGAAGCAATTTAGACTTAAGCGCTATTTTTAGGACAGATAGATGAAGTTACCAAATGAAATAGAAAATAAAAGAGGTTATAGTGAATTAAATTTAGAAGTTTACTTTCATATTTTTTATCTTCTCCCATAAATAAAAATCATCAGCATTATCATGCTCTTCTTTTCATACTAAAAAAATTTTCAATGTTTATTGCATTCTTTTCCTAGTTTACGGCCAGTGGCATAGCTAGGGTGGGGCAAGGGGGGACATCTGTCCCCGGGCGCAGCATCCAAGGGGCGCCAAATTGATGCTACGTAATTTTTTAATGAAATGTGTTTTCCATTTTTGGCACACAGAAAGGGGTGCAAATTCTGCAGTTGTCCCCGGGCGCTGGAAACTCTAGCTACGCCCCTGTTTATGGCACACATTAATTATGTTGCATAGCTGTGGACCCTGAAATATGAAAAACTGGGAGTTTCCATGGTGAACAACAGCACCATTTCAAATGAACACTTAAACAGATTTAAATTTACTTTATAATGCATGAATCAAGTTATTGAGCTAATATGATTGTGGCATAAAATATTTTAATATTTAATTAGCTATTCTAAATTTTTATGTTCTTTGGTTAATTTCATTTTATAATTTTCTTACACTTTTATGCCAAAAAATTCCAAGCAGGGAAGGAAAAACTTTAACTTATCAAAGTGCTTTCAAACATGATGAAAATAAAATTAAATAATTAAACATATAGCACTGCATGAATAACCTTAGCATTATACAATAAACAAAACTGACGTGAAACAAAATTTAAAACTTGAATTTTCATATAACATTTTACAATTGTCTACAGTAAATTAAGACAATTGAGATCAAATAAAATTAATGAGAAAAATTAAGATGAAAATTACTACAGGTGGGAAGTGGAATTTGCATAATTTAGGCTTCAATAACTCAATAAATTTCATTTATTGTTGAAAAACACTTTCCTTGGATAAGGCTAACATTTAAAAGCCCAGAGATTCAGTGATAAATGCTAGAAAACCAGATGTGAAGAAAAACTGGCAGTCTCCAGATAAAACCAGGCGAGTTTACAGATATGACATTGATTTAATATTACTCTCACAATATTTCCCTTCTTTGCATTCTACTGATATGATTCCAATTAAGTTTAGATAAAATTTTAATTTGCTGCAGTTAATTTCCTGTAACATGATGACTTGGAAAGAAGATATGCAAACACAAGACTTTAAATCTCTAACAGATAATATTTCTACATAAAAACAAATTCATCTACAGCCATAAGCAGTACCTCAAGAAGGCATTACTGTACATCACATTTTATAAACATACACCTTACCTTAATTTGTTCTGCACTGACGTTTTCCAGTTTCTTGGCAAATTCTTTATCTTCTTCTAGAGCCTGTACCACTTGTTGTAGGTATCGACCATATTCTAGTCCCTAAAATAAATGCAATTTGATAACATGTGCATACAAAGAGAACAGCTCCTTTAATTCAAGATTTTAATCAATTTGAAAAGAAAAGTTTAAAATATCATTTGTGAAGAAATTAAGTTTGGAATCCTTTTATCAGACAGTTATGCATTTGAATCTACAAAAAGATATTGTTAAAAATAAAATAAAATATGCTTACAAAAAATAATTTTTTTAAAGTAATATTTTTTGAACAATTTATTATAAAGAAATTTTTTTCCACCATCTAAAAACTTTGCTGATGACAGATTAATCCTTTTGCAAAAACTGCGGCAAAACACTGAACAGTACGACAGCTTTTATATTGTCCGAGATTTGTAGTCTGTTTCTAAAAAAAATTTTGTTATTTTTTACATATTATAGTCTTTTCATTTTCTTTCTACTAAACGGAAGGCAATGAAAATACAGAGCAGGCAATTAAATAGTGGCAATCTAGCTATCAGATTCAAATACAAGTGGACAGAATACTTGAAATTCACCATTAGTCATACAGATATATTCCCACCTCAATTTTGAAGGAGAATATCCTAGGCAGTGGTCTGAGGGACTCCTACCCCTCTTCATATTACCAACCTCTCAAAAAACGCTTCAGCTCGTCATGTATTTTGAGAGTCTCCTGCTGCACAGACATTTTACACTTACAAACGTCCATGCCTTCTCTGGGATCTGAACCAGAACGATCATTGTGGCAGTCAGAATCGCTAACCGGTTGGGCAGTCATTACAAATGAGGCATCTTATGAGAAGATTTAAACATATTCAAGATCAAAGGATATAGGCTTGGAAGAAGCACTCAGATAAGAGATCATGTTCTTTTGCTAGCTGTACCTCATATTTATCTGTAGAAATTATTCAGATAAAGGGATAGTTTTGCAAGTATTTACTGACTTTTGACCAATACTTTCTGCAAAACTACCCCTTTACACAGTTACTTTCATTGAAAAGAAAGTGCATTACAGCATGGTAACATTGCAAATAATCATTTTTCCTCTTTTCTTTCTTTCTTTCTTTTTTGTATTACATGTTTTTATATTTTGCATTTTACATGAATTCCAAACATAAAAGATACCAAGCCAAAGATGAAATTTCACACAGATGGACAAATATTTACTGAAAATTATGTCTTGATTACACAATTCCAATTGGAAGGGGAGCATGCCATTAAATTAGGCATAAAAGCAACCTTAGATTGTTAGAGATTTTTAAAAAAACTATTAATTTCAAGGGTTATGATTTATGATTCAGATAATTTATGAAGTTTTCCTTGATAACAGTTCAAAACCCCCTAACAGACATGAATTATTGTTATGTCTGTAACTAACTACAAAGCCAGAAAAAGTTCTACATAAACATTTTTATTTAAACAAAACTTAGAACATAAGTGCATGTTCTTGTGCTAACAAAATCACCCCCAGCTCATGGTGATGCAATTTAAAACACAGAATGGTAGTCAAAGACTACAGAATCATTAAATTTTAATCTAAGCTGGTTCAGTAATTCTAACCAGCATATCAAAGTCCAATGGTGGCAATGAGATAATGCAAAGACTAATAATTACAATTTATCACAGCTGACAGGGACTAAATGAAATGTGCATGCACAGGTCAGAAATATGCTCTATCTTATAATAAAAAAAAATCTCAGTTTAAACACTATCTAACTCATTTAAATTCTGGTGAAAAAGTGGGAAGGAGAAGGTTATAGTAAAGGCTGAAATTATAAATACAGTACAAAGTTCGTGATACGGACGTCCATTATCCGGAATGATCTATAATCCGGGCCACAAAACCACAAATTTACGCATGCGCGTAAAGCCAGTAAAGCGTTTACCCATGCGTGCTTCCATAGTGAAGAAAGTACCAGAGAACGTTATTGAAAATGAAAAAATTTCGATTGACAAGTTATAGTATTCTCGACAGCAATTACAGGACTTGACAGTGAACTTTGTATTGAACAAAATTATGTCTGTTTATAGAATTAAAAAGAAAGTATTAGCAAAAGCTAAGCAACTTACAGTGGATAGACAAATATGGAACCTTGTGAATGTATGTTTGAAGAGAAGATTGATTTTAATGAATATGTACGTGGCGCTGGCTTTTTGACTACTGACGCCACCTATACAACTTCGTAAATGTGCTAAACAGTTCAGTTGTTGTCGGAGTACTGTTATGTGAGGTTGTCATTGCATTATGTCAGAGTTAACAGACTTCGAACGGGGCAATTGTTGGAGCACGATGGTAATGCTTCCGTAAGCAAGGTGCCGAGGTGTTTAGTGTTTCAAGAGGTACTGTATCGAAGATTATTCCGCATATTTGAAAGCGGAAAAACATCATCCTGCTAATCACAGCGCGGACGAAAGTGTGCCCTAGTGATCGTGTCAGACGATCATTAAGGCAATTGTGACGAAAAATAAGAAGACCACAGCTGCAAAAGTTACTGCTGAAATGAATGTTGTGTTACCGAACCCTGTGAGTACCAAAACAATTAGAAGGGAGCTTCATAAACTGGGAATTTCTGCTGTGCTGCAATTGAGAAGCCACTCATCAGTCGATGCTAATGCCCGTAACAGGAAAGGTGGTGTTTAAGTCATAAAGCCTGGACTATAGAGCAAGGAAGCGAGTAATATGGTCGACGTCTTCTTTCACATTCTTTCCCACTTCTGGCCGAGTTACGTCTGGAGAACGCCAATCTCAAGCCTATAATACGACTGCTTGTTGCCAAGAGTGAACATGGTGGGTTCTGTTATGGTTTGGGCAGCCATATCGTGGTTCTCTGCTACCCCATGATAACTGTGTCAGGGCACATGACTGCCAAGACTTTGTGAACATTTTGGCCGATCAAGTTCATCCCATGGTACAAACTTTGTTCTCCGATGGTGATGGTGTCTTCCAAGATGACAAAGCCCCTGTTCACAAAGCTCACATTGTCCAGAACTGGTTTTCTGAGCACGAGGATGAGTTGCCCCATCTCCCCTGGCCACCACAGTCACCAGACCTGAATATTATCGAACCTTTGTGGTCTACATTGGAACGGAAAGTACGTTCTCGTTATCCACTGCCAACATCGTTATCTGAACTTGCCACCGTTTTGCAGGAAGAATGGTATAATATTCCCTTGTAAACATACAGGAACTGTATTTATCCATTCCAAGAAGACTTCAAGCTGTTTTGGATGCCAGCGGGTTTCCTACACCATATCAAGCAAAGAAACATGTTTTTTTAAAGGTGTTTTCCATATTTTTGTCCAATCCCTGAACATTGATGGAAATGTTTACTAAAGTAAACAAATAAATATTAAGCTTTTTTTTTTTTTTTTTGGTAAATTTTGATACCCTTTAGATAATAATTGCTCTTTATTTCATAAATTACAGTTTCATATTTTTAATTGTATAATTTCTGCATGCCATCTTACCAGATTTAAATTATGATCTATAATCCAGAAAAACCCCTAATCCGGAATCGCTGAAGTCCCAAAGAGTCCGGATTACGGACTTTGTACTGTAGCTGGTTAAGTTAAATAATAACTTTATAATTTTTTCTTTTGCTTCTGAAGAAGAGAAACTTATATTTCATTGCTCTCATAAAAAGTTTTATCACAATCAAAGGGGTTCATGTATGTTTCTATACATGAAAATTAAGAGCTTCTAAGGTCAATTAATTAAGGATCAAAGCAATTATCTATGCAACAACTTTAAACTTATGATATCATTCTAACAAAAGTGCACATAGGATGCATTACACCAGGGAACAATTTTTAACACAATTTCTTCCGAGTTCGATTTTTGAGCTGTTGTAGAGTTAGTTACATTGGCATGCTGATTTCAAAACTGTAGTTAGTTTTCTTCTACCACGTCAAGTTATTTTTCTCCACAACTTATGTTAATGTGACTACTTTCTGCAGCATCAAGTGTGGATCATAGGAAGTATTACTGCTCTCCTATTGGCTGTCATAAACCCTCTGAATGGTGTCGGGTGAATGACGCCATAGGAGACCAGCAACAGGTACATACTTGTCTAAATTACACACCTGAGATACTGTCGTGAAACATTGTAACTCTGATACAGTGAAGCCCCTAACAGACATGTAGAATCAGACATGAAGTATCAGAGTTACAAACATTGTAACTCTGATACAGTGAAGCGCATTACAACATGGAGTCTGAGTTCTTGTTTGCACACAAGGTTAACAGTATTTAGTTTTTATTTATACATGAATTGAACCTTTTCCTTATATCTGCCTCTGCTAGTTTGCATCATAAGTGCTTAAACAGCTGCGATTCATTCTGTTATATATGTCGCAGGTTTACCATTCCCAGTCAAAAAACAAACATCAGTGCATTTGGCAGGCAAGCCTATATTAAAGAGAAAATTGGTGATTAAGATATGTCATGGGCCTCTAACAAAGTGTACAAGCTGTATGTCAATAGTTTACAAATGTATATGAAGGGAACGTATTCTAAATCTCCATTTAGTATATCTATGATTTGGTGAGAACTCAAAGTGATTGTTACTTTTGTATAGTAAAAATGTCAGGGTATAGCAAGAAAAACAAACATAAAATAGAGTATCCTATTTTACTATCAAACTACACGCTGAGTGCCTCACTCAGCTGAACTCCCAGTATCAGTACCCAGTCCAGTATACCAGTTTTCAAAGAATTACTCTCTTTGAAAATACAGGAATATGATTCTGGTGAATACTGAATTAACCCCCAATGACGAAGATTTTGAAATTGAAGATGATTCAGTTTGTAAGGGATTTGACAAGCATGACTTGAATGATTTGGCATGAGATTTGGGACTACCTAAAAATGCTTCTGAGCTGTTAGCATCCAGACTGCATGAAAAAAACTTGCTCAAAGTTACTTACTTTCAATCAAGATAAAGTGCATTTCTGCAATACTTTCAAAGTGATGATGGATTTGCATACTGTCATAACCTACATAGTTTAATTGAAGAGTTGGAAATTT